ACAAGCCATTCGGTTCATTTGGCCAAATGAAAATTAATAACAACACAATATGAAGTATACGCCCCGTCAGCTCGTCAGCATAAGTGAAGCAGGTGGACGGGTGGGTAACTGTGTGTGCCCAGTTAAACATGCCAGTCGCCAGTCAACCGACCTGTTCGCTAAGCCACTAAGTAGCTGTAAATAGCCAGGTGAGACAGCAAGCACTTTGCTGTTGTTGGCAATTGCGACGCATAGCGAAGCACTGCGTGCGGCTTGTGATTTATGTTGTGCAAATGGCCTGACACTTGCCCTGACAAGTGCTTTAAGTCCATTCAGAAAGAAGAAGGACACCGCCGCTATTATGGACTGTCGACGTGTCCCGGCTTGGAGCTCATAAATTTGCCATTTGCTTCACCTCAACTGGGTATAATAAGTCTTGTATAACCAAAGTACACGCATGCGAAGGATTATATGTAGATATGTATGTCTATTAATATATTTATGTATGTATTTATCTATAGCATGGAGACGTTCGCACATAACTTGCATAGCGACGCTGATCTAAAGAGGACAAAAATGCAATTATGAGTGTTCTATTAGGATGTACATGGCCAGCAGATACTCTGCATCTCTGAGTCGACATTGTGTTTATAACTGCCTAATGCATACATACATACACATAGCCAAAACCAATATACCCTGATTTCTCATTTTCAATGGGCTCAATATATAAAAGATTATTAAACAATTAAGTGTCCATAGTGAACCCACACTGTAGCCCATGAGTGCTGATGGCTCTCTTGTCTCTTGTGTAAGTAGAAAATAAGCGAAGAAATATCAGCTCATTGCTCAGAAGATCTCGTAGACGAGCAGTCTCGACTTGAGTTTTCTTGTAGAAATATGTCTACTAAGCAAAAATAATCTCTGATAATTCATGATACCCTATTCTCTGTGAAACATAGTCAGCACCGTCTCCAACACCCTCAGCACTACAATACCCACTTTTGAAGTGACAAATACATGTCCAACTCTTCTATTGTTCTTATTAAATTCGAGTGGAATACACTCTGCTGAATTTAGTATTGAAGAAAATACGTACGATTGGCACTAATTTGCACTAAACTTTATAATTTACTTGATTAATGACGGTGTTAGATGTCGTACTCAAAGGAAATACATTTTACATAGAAGTTAATGCAAAATGTGAAGACTCCAGCTGGAAAGATGTAAGCTATATGAATGAAAAACTTCAGGTCGACTTGGTTATATCACCTGATTAAGAATATATACATATGTAAATATATGTATGTATTTACACTTGGTAGAATTAATCACAGCTCCTGTCCACAACAGACTCACATTTCAATGCACTGCAGGGCATAAAGAAAACAAATCTCGAATAATTATAATTTATGCGCAAGCACAGAAATAGCGCAGAACTCTGTGACAACAGAGAAATTGTTATAAATATTGCGCATACGCCGCATTGTGCGCAGCGAGTAGTTGAGGTACGGGCACCGGTCAGCAGCTCTAAAATTGATTTAACGCCTTGTCCGCTGCGTGCTGCTGTCCATGTTCATGTCCATATTCATGTTTGTGTCCTTGTCCTTCCTTGTCCATGACTGGCACTTAAGAAACTTATAGATCTGTGCGAATAACTTTTCGAAACTTGGACAAGTTGTCGCCGTCATTTGGGCGAGCGAACCAAAGCTAATTACGCAAATGTGTATCTCTGCAAGCAAAATGTGACACATATTATCATAAGCCAGAAGGCAAGGACATCCGCAGCAACAGACAAGTTTAATTGCTAATGTCTCTTCTCTCTTCTCACTCTCTAATCCGGAATGAAATTTTTATCAACTTTCATTTGAAGATGACTCTCAAAGCTAGAAATTTGACCAGTTCTTATGGCATTTCAAATCGGGTATATTACTTTTCTGCTTTTCATTTTGGCAAACGTTTCGATTTCTATAAGTTACTTTAAGTGGGCTCTTTTCTAGGCTGCTCGACTACGAGATACCCTGAATTCTTTAAAGAACTCATCTTTCATTAACTCTTTGCTTCTTTTCTGCATACAGATTCTAACTCTTCAGGCGTTGTCCTGACCAAGATTATTACTTTATGGGTACTGTCACGCCTATTTCTGCCTTTTAATAAACTTTAACATTATTATTTGAGCTGTTGAATCAATAAAAAAATTTTTTTTACTATATATATACTTATTAAGAACTGAAAACGTTATCATCTATAAATTATTCACAGAATACTTTTTATGTTCCCCACATATGTATATACAAATCTTTATTATTTCTTAGAGAAAAAAGCAATAATTTTATAAATAAAATTTGGAAGAAATAGTCTTTATAAATAATGTATATGTAGTACCCATTCCACCAACCACCTTTGTTAATAATATTTCGATCGATTCCATAAAAATCTATATGGAAACAAATATTTTGGGCCTGGTTAAGGCTTTCCTATAGAGCAGCTGTATTTCTCTACAAATTTCATGTGATATGGAAAAAAGCCAAGTCAAAAATACGTGGAGTCTGCGAGTCTTCAAAGTGCGACTTGCATAATTTTGTTGTGCAGTGCTATTGACTTAAGGGAAAAAATGCAAAGATGCAGCTGCTGTCAAAGTGCCCCAAAGAGGGGATGCTCGATGGACGGAGGGGATGGGCAGTTTGAAAGGGAAGTGGGTGTGGGTTTAGCACACTTAATATAAGTCGCGCGGCGCGAATAAGAGAAATTGCTGACACATTTCAATTGAATTTCAAATGCGAGCTAGTTTCTATATGTATGTATGTATATGCATGTGTGTGTGTGTGTGTGTGTGTACAACTGGCAGACATATCGTAAATACATATAAACACATATGAATAGTTGCCGTTGTTTGTTTTTGGTGTTGTTGAAAGTTAAACACAAATCAATTTGTAAAACTATTTTTATAACAAGAAACAAGCAGAGCCCGCACTACATTTCAACAAATTTATTGCCAAGATGTGCGAAAAAAATTGAAAGCATATTTTTTATTTTATGTTTTGTTTTGTTTTGTATTTGTTGTTGTTGTTGTTGTTGTTGTTCGTTTCTTGTTTGCTTTGTTTGTTTGGCAAATAAAGGTAAAAACCTCCATCAAATGTTCATATTTTATGTTCGCAGCAATTACGAAAATTTTTAAAGTATTTAGTTGAATTGTTCAAATTACTATGTATATACATACATATATGTAGTTTGTATTGCAGTGTATACTATATGTTATATAGAGCATATATACAGTACAATTTAAGCATTATTATAGTTACACATAAACAGTTTTATTCATGTTAATTCACTCAGCTGGCATTAAAATTAGATTCCCTCCACTCAAGAGAGTTAATGAACCCATTGCAAGTGCCACTTACTTCGCTTAATGATGCTCGCTTGCAACGCCAATGCCATTGAACTTTCATTGCCGGCTACGAAATACCCTATAATTGTATTTCATATGTCAACTTTTAAATATTTGTAGCAAAGTTGAGACGGATATTATTAAGGCTTGTTTTAATTGATTCAGCCTAGTCATAGCAATATATCACATATGGAAAAATTTGCAAAATGTTAAAAGATTTTTTGAAGAAATACTTTATGACATTTGTATTTCGAAATCATTGATAAGGTTTATGAGTAAACATGATTTTATGATCTTTTTATATCCTGAACCCATTACTTATATAAAATCAGGCTATAATGGTTATGTTAA